TATTCTATTCTATTCTATTCTATTCTATTCTATTCTATTCCTTAATCTATTCCATTCCATTCCATTCTATTCTATCCTATCCTATCCTATCCCTTAATCTATTTCATTCCATTCTATTCTTTCCTTTATTCTATTCTATTCTATTCTATTCTATTCCATTCCATTCCATTCCATTCCATTCCATTCTATTCAATTCTATTCCTTAATCTATTCCATTCCATTCCATTCCATTCACATTCCATATTCTATTCTATTCTATTCTATTCTATTCTATTCTATTCTATTCTATTCTATTCTATTCTATTCTATTCTATTCCATTCCATTCCATTCACATTCCATATTATATTTTATTCTATTCCACGTTCTGTTCTATTCTATTCCACTCCACTCCACTCTAATATTGGGGGCCCAGGAACTGGGCCGGGCTCCAGGACACACCACCCTCCCTTTGCCTGTTGCTGGTGCTCGTCGTGCCCGAGGGACGCCTCACCGGTTTGGGTCCTGCCTCTACCGCTCTGCCCGCTCGGGGGGCTCCCTGGGGAGTTTGTGCTGGTGGCAGGCCCTGCAGCCGCTGAGTCCTCTCCCTGCCGGTGCTCAGCTCCGCTTCCCCCAGATCGACGCCGCTGTCTTCGCTCAGCGTCTGCCCGCTGGCCGAGAGCTGGGAGAGCGTGGAGGCTGGGGTGGGAAACGGTGAGAGACAAGCTGTTAAAGGAAGGAGCAGAGCAGAGAGAGAAAAGGGAGAGTGCTGAGAACAGAAGGACAGAGTTGGACTCTTACAAGCCTCCCGTGATGGAGAAGCCACCATTTCTGGAGGCAAGCCGTTCCACTGGTTAATTGATCTGGGGCTATTAGTTGGAAGGGACCTTGGAGGTCTTCTAGTCCAACCCCCTTTACAAACAGGAAACCCTACACCACTTCACACAAATGGCTGTCCAATCTCTTGTCCCAAAGGTGCTTTTTTTTTTTTTTCCTGGAGGCAACTGGACTTTCTTATTTCTGTTTGTTCTTTGAAGATGTTTTGCTTCTCATCCAAGACAGGATAGTGGAGCCGAAGAAGCTTCTTGGACGAGAAGCGAAAGGTCTTCAAGGGAAATGTCCAGTTGCCTCTTGCAAAAAGCACCTTTGGGACAACCACGACCTGGAGGACTTGAGAATCTCTACAAACGTTTTGTTCGATCTCTTCTTAAAAAATGAATGTTGGGGCAACCACAACTTCTGGAGGCAAGGAGTTCCACTGGTTTATTGTTCTGACTGTCAGGAAATTTCTCCTTAGTTCAAGGTTGCTTCTCTCCTTGGTTAGTTTCCGTTTGTTGCTTCTTGCTCTGCCCTCAGGTGCTTTGGAGAATAGCTTGACTCCCTCTTCTTTGTGGCAGCCCCTGAGATACTGGAACACTGCTATCATGTCACTCCTAGTCCTTCTCTTCATTAAACTAGACATATCCAATTCCTGCAACCGTTCCTCGTATGTTTTTTCCACCAGACCCTTAAGCATCTTTGTTGCATCTTTCTGTACTCATTCCAGAGTCTCAACATCGTTTTTTTACATCGTGGCGACCAAAACTGGATGCAGTATTCCAAGTTTCGTCTTACTAAGTCCTTATAAAGTGGTATTATTAACACTTCGCGTGATCTTGATTCCCTCCCTCTGTTAATGCAGCCTAGGATGAATTGTAACATGGAACAATAAGGACAGATTCTGTGGATGCTTGAGGCAGAGTTTTAAATGCAGCACAGGGGGAAAAGGTTGCCTGGTTGGCTTTTGTCTTTTAAAATGGTTTGTTGATTGGGGCCCGCTTAATATTCATTTTTTTGCAAGCCACCGAATAAGGGATGGATAATGTTTTCATTACAGGAAGAAGGTGTAGCCTGGCTGACTGGGGTGCATAAATAAATAAATTTGCATGCGACAGCTACGCATGAATATATGGATAAAATAATATACAGCAGCTGCACTGGCTGTTATATGAGCAGAACGAAGCCCAGGGGTCAGCTCACTTCTCTTGTCTCTGAATATATTATCAAGAGAAAGTTCTTGCATGCTCCCTCCCACTTCGCAGATTGTGCACTATCCATGTTAGATAAGAGAGAGACACAGAGAGAGAGAGAGAGAGAGAGA